TTTCTGCCTAGTATTAACTGCAGCATCCTTATCCTAATCACATGTATTGCTCATGGGACCCTCACTTCAACTTATGAAGTAGATACTTATTATTTTGCAGATGGGGAAACTGAGGCTCAGAAGGGTTGACTGACTTGCCCAGAGTCAGTCAACTAGAAGGCTACAGAGCTAGGGGTTTTAAATCTAGGTGGATTAGTGTCAGAATTGGGATGTCTGGGCTAGGTGTGGTAGCTCATGCCAGTAATCCTAGTACTCTGGGAAGCTGAGGTGGCTAGATTGCTTGAGCTCAGGAGTTCGAGACCAGCCTGAGCAAGTACAGAAACCCCATCTCTACTAAAAATAGAAAAACTAGCTGGGTGTTGTGGTGGGTGCTTATTCTCCCAGCTATTCAGAGGCTGAGGCAAGAGGATTGTTTTAACCCAAGAGTTTGATGTTGCTATAACCTGTGATGATGCCACGGCACTTTATGCAGGCGTGTCAGAGTGAGACTCTGTCTTAAAAAAAAAGAGAGAGAATTAGGATGTCTTAGCAGCTGAGCTCTTATCATAAGAAGTTCCATTTACTGGTGTCATGGATGTGTGACACCTGCAGTCTCACCCCCTCTCCCCCACTCTTGAAAGTAAAGCTTGGTTTAATGACACTGTGCTTCTGATTTTGTGAAATTATTAATTTGTGAAGAATGAAAATGTTTTCATTTTACACTAAGCCTTGAGAATTCTCAAGCCTGCCCCAGTGCCTGGGCATGTGCTGAGTGGCCCACATGCACTCAGTAAAATCTCACTGGGCTGTATGGGAGAGCTTTGGGCTCTGTTTTAACGATAGGGAAAATAAAGCTTGGAGGGTATTTGGGAAATTGCAGAGCAGGGCTTTGAACCTCATGGTTTGGGTGCAGAGGCCTGCAGCTTGGAGCTTGAGTCCTGTGCTCCAGGTCGATGGTGGGGATGCATGCCTGGGGGAGAGCAGGGTATGTACTGTGGGTATCTGCTGCATTGGTGGGGTGTGGGCCCAGGGAGGCCTGGCCACCAAGGAGATGGGGCCATGGCAGGGGGGCCCTGGTGGTTTCCTCCTGCCCTTCAGGCTTCTAGGAAGTGGCGCCAGCTGGGGTGAGATCACTTCCTTACCCGCCTGCCCACTCCCCCCTCAGTTTCCTCTCCCCATGGCCCCATTTGGCCTGCCCAAAGCTGGGAGGGGGGCGCCAGAGGGGGGAACTTGACTTTGGAAGTTCCTGCAGCCTCTTTGGCCTACATGGACCCCGGGGGCATCTCTACCTCTCCAGGGCTGGGGCTGGATTCCAGGTCACAGCCAGGGTCATGCTCTGTCTGCAGTGTGTTGCATGTGGGTAAAAGGATTCCCTGGGAGAGAAGGAAGCAGCTATAAGGACCTGGAAGGAGGTGTCCCCAAGTCTCATTACCTACTTTGCTTTCTCTTTCTCCCCTCCAGGTACCAGCCTCTGGCCTCAATTGATGTCCCCTCACCCCTGTGCCATGGCCGGCTGGGGTTCCTGGGGATGGGATTTGCTGCCTATCACAAATCACATTGCCAGGGATTTCCAACCGACCCTGAGCTTTGCCACCGAGGATGTTGCCCACCCAGGGACAGGGTGGCAGAGAGGCCCTGAAGCTTTGTGTGCCTGGCCTGAGGAGCAGGGCTTAGCTGCTTGTGAGCAGGGTCCACACCAAATCATGTTCACAGTGGCTAAGTTCCGCCCCCTGGGCCACCATCTCCTCTGGCTGTTGCTGCCTCTTCCCTGCTGCACCACCCATCCTGCTGTCCTGCTGTCCTGCTGCCCAGCTTCCCTGGGCTCTGCCTCCTGTGCCTACTGAGCTGAAACACAGTTGATTTGTGCACACTGGCTCAGTTCAGCAGGAACAGGGGTCAAGCCCCCTTGGAGCCTGCAGCCCCTGCCTTCCCTATGTGGGCCAATACCTGGAGGGAAGATGAGGATCCAGACTCAGACCTGTCTTTGAAGGAGGGAACTGTGTAGGGAGGGAACAGGTGGATGGGCCTGTCTGGGCTTAGCCATCTGCTACAGGTCCCTCCCCTTAACACTGTACTTTAGGACCATACCACATGCCTACACTTTATGCTGGGCAGTGGCCCCAGAGCAGACAGATGGGTGGGTGGATAGATAGCCCTCCCATAAAAAAGGAAGCCAGCTGTGTCCCCTTAGATCTAGAGCCTCAGCCCCTTCTGTCCTAAGCCTGGCAGGGGACAAGAGCCTGCCCTGCACCTTCCCAGCAGCCACTTATCCAAGAGGAAGCTGCCTTGGTCCCCCTAAGCCGTTGAATGCCAACCCTGAGCTTCTGGCTGGGCTGACCTGACCTGGCCCCATCTGCCTGGGCCCTGCAGCTCCTAACTTAGTGGAAGGAGCAGTGACACCCATCCCACATATGGGACAGGGAACAAGGTCTACATGGACCCAGAAAGGACACAGCAAGCCTATTCAGTCCTGGGGCCTTGGGAATGGCTGATCCTGCCCTCCTTGGGTGGTCTCAAGACAGGGAAGAATTAAGGCTCTGTATACTATCTCAAAATCAGATGGGATGAGGGCTGTTTTCTGGATGAGACTGAGGAGGCACAATGAAGTTCCCCAGGTCTCACTGTCCCCTTTCCCCACCTTGGGCAGGGGTGGACAGAAGCTTGAGGTAGAAGGGAGAGGCAGAGTTGTGCTGTGTGTCATGCCTGTTGTCCAGTTAAATAAAAGTTGCCCTGGCTTCCTTCCTGAAGGTTTGGTCTGTGATTCATTCCTGCTTCTCAACCATGGAGTTGCAGCTTTTGATTGGCCTGAATTTACTGTCCTGGCATCCTAATATCCTCACTCTGTTGCCACCCCCTGCACACTCCACTTGCTCAGAGGGAGTGGCAGTTTAGTCACTAGGGCCCTCTGCTTGGGAAGTTGACCCTAGACTCTCAGTAATGTGACAGGAAGAGCTGTTCTGGGAGGAACCAGTCATCCTGATGGAAATGCTCAGCCTGAAAGGTGACATTTGGAGACAACTGGGACCTAGAGGTCTTGAATAATGACATCTGAGGGCATCTGGAACCTAAGGGATATTCTGGCCTGGGAGGAAGATTTGGAGTGCCTGATCTGAAATGCTAGGAAGCAACTCGGGCTTGAGGTGACATCAGGGAAACCCCCGGCTGGAGGGCTGACATTCCCGTGTGACTGGGATCTGTGTGGCGCCCTGGGTTGGTAGGAAAGTTTGTGGGTAACTGACAGCTGAGGAGTACAGTAAGGGGTGCACCAGGCCGGAAAATGACATTTACAGGCTGCAGGTACCACAGGGAGTGCACTCCAGGATGGCCACCTTCCCACCAAACCAGGACTCCAGCGGGTGGGCTGTAAAGAACACACTCACCAGCCCAGGGTCCGCCCGCACATACCTGCGAGAATGCGCGCGACGGGGGCAGGAGGTGGGGCCGCCTCCAATTGGTCCCCTCTAGCGGAGCGCGGTACCACAAACCAATCGCCTTGTTCAGCGTCGCGAAAGCCCCGCCCTCGTCTCCGCGCTGCCCTCTAGCGACCACCTGGACGCCACTCCGGGAAGTTCCTGTCCTTACCTGCCCTGGCACTGATTGTGACCCAGTCTGCCCATTTGTCCGCCAGTCTCTAAAGGCAGAAAGGTCCTCAGGGAGCTGCTTCTCGGGGAGCTAAGGAAATTTAGACAACTAAGGTCTTTCCTGCCGTCCCCCAGGTCCCACAATCTATTTGGGAAGTGAAAGCCTCATCTGTGGTATAAAATCTCAGACACGCCCATTCCATTTTTCTGCCTGGGCCGTGGCCCCGCCCACCGAGGCCGACTCTTAAACCTAGCCTTACCACTTTTGGTTGGTAAGGCTCCTCCCTAACCCAGCTGCATCCAGTACCAGATACAACCTCCCTAGCGCAGCAACCTGAAAACAAGTAGCTCCCAGTATTTGTGTCCAGAGCCACATCACCCCCTAGTGGCCATTCCCAGCAGTGCAAGAGCCATGTAGCTTGGGGTGGGACGGGTTCAGCGTTCTCAGCGAGGTACTAAATCCAGCTGCCTTGGTTCCTAGCTGGGTGTCCTTTTCTGCGAATTTGCAGCCTCAGTTTTCTCGTCTGTAAGATGGAAACAATACTACAGACTCAAGGCTATTGTGATGATTGAGTGACACCTGTAAAGCATTCAGTGCCATGCCTGCTTTACGGTTAAGGACTCATCATTCATTTTGTTTGCAATTATTCACATAATCACCACTGGATAAAGCCGGCAGTCTCTCCCATTCCACCCCAGAAATGAGACCAGAGATCTTTTTCTGTGGAAGAAATGAGGTGACCTTGGCTTGAAGTGGGTAAAGGGGCGATGGACTCCAGTTTCAAAATAAAAGTAAAAAGAAAATGCTGTGTTCAATCTTTAAAAAAAAGAAAAAAGAAAAAAAACGAACAATATATAGTTCAATAAATAGAAAAAGAGTTACAAAATGACGTGATCTTTCGTCCTTAATACATAAGAGGGGAGAAGACAAGGGACAATGGTGGGATGCCAGTCCTCCTCCTCCCCGCTTGGCCGAGGCAAGGGAGGGGAAGGGTGGCCAAAGACTGTCAGTAGCTGGGACTGAGAGAGACACAGATAGAAATGCAGGTACATAGATAGGAATATGGAAACTGAGAGTAAGATGAACAAGTAAAGCAGGGAAACAGAGGAGAAGAAAGGGAGAGACAAAGCCAGAAAGCCAGAAAAATGCCAAGAAGCATGACTCTTTTCCAGATTGAGGGCAGAGGGTCCCCTGGCTCTCTTGTGCCTGTGTCTTCTGACACCAAGCTTGGAGGGGCAGTATGAGTCTTGCTTGGTTCCTGAGTTTTATGTCCAGTGACTAACAGGTGAGGGAAGGGGCAGTGATGACCACACCCCGATCCACCTTGGGACACTGGTGCCCAAGGGACTTGGGGGATGTTCTGGCTGGACAGGAGGTGAGGGGTGTGAGGTATGTGGCTGAGGCCTGAGGCCTTTTCAAATCCTTCAGTGGGGGTGAGGCATTGGTCCTGGCTGGGCAGCCACAGGGAAGGAAGGGAGGTGGCAGAACAGGTCCGTTGAGCAGTGGGGGGAGAGGGAGGGCACTGGGGATTAGATGCTCTAATACAAGTCCCCTGGCCACCTATGGTAAGTTTTGGGGAGGGTCTGCTACATTGATTTAGTGGGCCTGTTTTGCCTCTCCATCCCACTCACAGAGCCCAAGCCAGGCCTGTGAGTTTAGAGAGGGGTAGCTTGTCTGTTGCTTTTAGGGTGCCAAAGGTGAGGCCACACCAGGTGCCCAAGCACACACCCCTTTCAGGCTTCTGGATAGTTAGTGGTATGGCTTCTGCTCCTAGAGTTTCGCACACTCATTTGCACACTCCTAGGCATGCACAGGGCAGACTACCACCCCCTGCCTCCATCTCCAGCTGGGCTCTTTCCCTGACTTAATATTGAAATGCCACATGGGCCTCCAATGCTCAGGCCCCCCCATGGAGAACAGGGGTCAGGGAGGCAGGGACTAGTGGGATCCCCTCTCCCAGCCCCCTCAACCAAAGCGCTCCCGCACCAAAAGCATGAGCTTTTTCTTGCCCTTATAGGTCTGTTTGAGGTTCTCCAAGAACTGGGCAAACTGAAGGTGCCCATCAGGTGCCAAGAGGAAGGTCTCACGGGCTTTGCCCAGGAACTCAATGAAGTCGCCATAGTGTCGTGGGCTGATGTGAGTGAGGCGGGAGTGGCTGGTTGTGATATAGGCAGCCACTGCCGCATCCAGGAGTTGGCAAAGTGGGGCCCTGTCAGCACCCAGTGGCTTGGCAGCTCGGCGGGCCCCCAGGGGACCCAGGCCAGGTGCTGAGAGGGTCCAGCGCCGCAGGATGTCAGAGAGCATTGGGGCACAGTGGATGCTGCGGATGATGAGGGGCACAATGGCAGAGAGCTCGTGCCGGCCCAGCGAGTGGCTGAGTGAGCAGGCCCACAGCACATCGTTGACAGCAGGGTGGCTGTCCTGGTTGAAGGCGATGCTGAGCTGTGCCAAGGCCAGTGTTGCCAGCTTGTAGGCACGCAGAGGCAGGCCCCGGTGCTCCATATAGCGGGCTACAGTGAAGAGGTGAGCATGGCCCAGGCCTCCGGCTGCAGCATCTAATACAATCTGGTAGGCTGCCTCAAAGGCTGCTTGGTTCTTCTCACAGAGCGTCAGTGCAGGCAAGGCGCAGTTCTGAGGATCTTTCATGGCGCACTGCAAGGCCAGGGTGCGAGCACAGGCCCAGAGCTCCTCCCGCCGTGGCGTGTCTAACTGTAGTCGCAGCAGGGTGGCATGTGTGGTACCTGTTACTGCCACAATGGTGGCCGCCTCCACTGGTGTGAATAAAGAGTACCAGTTTTGCATGATGTTCATCAGGGCTTGTGGGCCTAGTAGGAGGTGAGAGGGGGAAATTATTCAGGCAGTGATATCTAGGCATAGGCCTGGATTTGCCCACATACTGCCATTCCTCCTCCATCTGCACCGCTATACCATGCTGGACAGAAACTTGGTTTTACTTTTCAAAAAAATCAGGAGGCAGTTGGACTGGGTGGGAAATGGGGTGGGACACTAAGCTCTGAAGCTCTTTTGTTCCCTACACCCCCCAGCCACATTAGCCTGGCCAGCCTCCAAGCCTTATGTTCCCTCCCATTCTGAGTGCAGGATGGAATAAAGGAAAAGTCTACAGAGAAGTGGGTGGCAGGTCCACTTAGCGGCTCTCACCGATCTCCGTGGCACAGCTGACCAGCCAGCGCACCATTTCCCTCCGTCGCCAGGTCATAGTGTTCAGGGTCATCCGCATCACCTGGGAGTGGGAGGGAGGGAGGGAAGGGGGTTCACTCTGTGCCTTGGGCTTGCCATGGGAGGGCCCAGAAAGGCGTGAAGAATAAAGCTGATCCAATGAACCTGGGCAAGTGACCTCACCTCTCTGGGCTTCAGTTTTCTCATCTAGGAATTGGGGACAAAAACGGTACCTACCTCATAAGATTGTTGAGAGAATTAAACATATTACGTGGATAAAGCTCTTTGCACAATGCTTGTTTCTTGAAAGTGCTCATGTAACGCCAGCCATTATGATTCCTGCTTTGGTTGGTGTTATTCTCAGACAAGGGGCCCACAGATCTGAGCCCAGATCCTACTTCATGGATCTTATACCAGAATAAACCAGACTGTCCCATATCTTTCTGAAAGCTCTATGCTTCATGTAAGTAGGTTGCCCCAAACAAAGCACCTCCTACAGGTGCCACCCCCAATAAACACCTTATGCACCTGGCTCTGCCCTGAGGCCCCACCTACAGGTCCTGCTTTTGTACCCTGGTTTCTTTCTTTCTTTCTTTCTTTTTTGAGACAGAGCCTCAAGCTGTCCCCCTGGGTAGAGTGCCATGGCATAGTTCATAGCAACCTCCAACTCCTGGGCTCAAGGGAGTCTCCTGCCTCTGCCTCCCAAGTTGCTGGAACCACAGGCACTCACTACAATGCCCGGCTGTTTTTTTTGGTTGCAGCCATCATTGTTGTTTGGCAGGCCCAGACTGGATTCGGACCTGCCACTTAGGTGTATATGGCTGGCGCCTTAGCTACTTGAGCCACAGGCGTGGAGCCAGCACCCTAGTTTCTGCAGGTTCCTATCTGATAGATCTCCTTTCTAATGAGCCCAGGAGTTTGAGGTTGCTGTGAGCTACAACACTACAGCACTCTACCAAGGATGACAAAAGTGAAACTCTGTCTCAAAAAAAAAAAAAAAATAGGCTCCTGATTTTGACTCCCCCTATCCCAAGTGGATCTACTCACCATAGGAGACTGTCCAAAGCCAATTCCAGCCCCTGCTACACTCTTGTTTACCTCTTCTACCTAGAGAGGTCCCACCCCATCCTGCAAGCTAGTCCCTTGCTGTTCCTTATTTATTATTTTGTTAATTTTATTTAAAAAATTAATTAGTTAATTAAATTTTATAAAGACAAGGTCTCCCTCTGTCACCCAGGCTGGAGTGTGGTGGCATGATCATAGTTCAATGCAGCCTAGAGTTCATGGGCTCAAGTAAGTGTGTGCCACCACTCCCAGTAATTTTTGCATTTTTTGTAGAGATAACGGTCTCACTATGTTATCCAGGCTGCTCTCAAAGGCCTAGCCTCAAGCAATCCTCCCCCCTCAGCCTCCCAAAGTGCTGAGATTACAGGTAAGAGCTACCACATCGGCTTGGCGCCTGTGGCTCAAGTGGCTAAGGTGCCAGCCACATGCACCTAAGG